ACTTCTTAGGACATGGGAAGAAATGGGGAGTGGGCGATTGCTGCTGCTTCGTTTTCTGATAAGGATGTAGAGGAGGTAATCCCTTTGGCAGTGATTAAAGATCCAAACGCTCTTGGTGCAGATGAAACCCAGTTAGCAGTTGTCGTTGAAAATCAGGTACGTATGGACTGGGGGGGAGGGAAGAGGGAGGGGGTTTGAGGCTGGTACCTACGGAGTATGCAGGGGAAGGGAGGAATGAAGATGGTTTAGAGGGTGCCAAGGGGAAGGGGATGGAAAAAGCGTCAGCATGGGTGAATTTGAAGCTATTAGGATTAGGAAAATTCTTGGGGGTCTCAATTGTAGGTTTGGAAGAAGAAACAATAAAACATTGCTGCTTCATCATCCATGAGACGACAGGTTTGTGAGACCTGGTCCCCTCCAACAGATGGTTGGAAGAAGTTGAACTTTCATGGGAGCTGTGTGGGTATCCCAGGCCCTTCAGGTATTGGGGGGGCCATTAGAGATGAAAATGGTTCCATTATTGCTCTGTTCTCTGGTCCTGTGGAGGAGGGTGATGTGGCTAGGGAGTTGGGGATTAATAGACTGATCATCGAGGGAGACTCAAAAACTGTGATAAAATGGTTGCAGAAAGGGGAAGGAGTGACATGGCAGCTGAAGAATGATTTCAGAAGATTCAAATGGATGTCAAGAAATATGTCAATTCAGGTGGGTTGGGTTAGGAGATTGGCCAACAGTTTGGCTGATAGCTTAGCAAAGCAAGGGGTTCAAAGAACATATATGTTTTGGGCACATTTGTAATTCTGTCCTGGATCAGCTTCTATGCTGATTTCATTTGCAGCTTCTTGTTGTATCCTAAAGCATCTTAATTAATGAAATTTTTTCAGAGTTATTGATCAATAAAAAACGAAGAAACAATAAAATATTTGTGAAGTTTTGAGAAAAGATTGTTAGAAGAGAAAGAAAAAACAAAAGGAAAAAAAGGAGTTTGGGAGGGAAGAAAAACAGGGAAATGTTGCAGCTATCCTGGGGTTTAAATGAAAAGGATGGGAAGGGGAAGGGATCGTCTAGGGGAGGAAGGGGGAAGAAGATGTAAGTTCAGGAGTTGGGGCATTTCTGTTTGTTTGCTGATGGAATTAAAAGTGCTCTCGTGGAATGTTAGGGGTCTGGGGTCAGGTAGGAGAAGGATGGTGATTTGCAATTTTTTAAGCAGGTCGGAATTGGATGTGGTATTCTTTCAGGAAACAAAACTGGAGGTAGTAGATGTAAGTTTAATTAGAAGTGTTTGGGGTCAAGGCCAAGTGAGGTGGATGAACAAGTCAGCTAAAGGTACAACAGGAGGTCTCTTAATTCTTTGGAACAATTTAAAATGTAAATTGGTTTCTTCTTATGTTGGGGAGTTTTCAGTTTCGGTGATTCTGGAGTTTGAGGGTGGTTTCCAAGGGTAGTTCACAAATGTTTATGGGCCAACTCTAAATTCAGAGAGAGAGAGAGAGAGAGACTTTGGGAGGATCTTGCTGAAGCTAGAGGTGGGAATTCCTTACCTTGGGTGATTGAAGGTGATTTCAACATAGTGAGATTTTTGGAGGATAAGAGGGGTGGGACTCGAAGAACTAGGGAAATGAGAAGCTTTGTGGAGTTTGTGAATTATTTTGAACTACTTGGTCTCCAACTATTAGGGGCCCAATTTACTTGAACAAGCAATCAGGAGAACCTAGTTCTGGTAAAACTGGATAGATTCTTGGTCTCTCTTGGGTGGGAGGAAAAGCCTAAAACAGGTTGCTCTCCCAAGGCCGGTCTCTGATCACACTCCTATATAGCTAGTCTGTGGAAATCAGAGGACTAGGAAAGTTCCCTTTAAACTAGAAAGTGCTTGGTTTGAAGAAGAGGAGTTGGTCCCTTTTCTTTCTTCCAAGTGGACAGAATCAAAACTTGAAGGTACAAGCTCTTTCATTTTTGCAAAATAACTCAGTCTTATTAAAGAATCTCTGGAATCCTGGAATCAGGAAACCAATGGTGGCTCAGAGCAAGAAAAGAGGTTATGTCTAGAAGTTATCAAGGAAGTGGATTTGGCAGAAGAGGTTGGTCTTTTGTTAGAAGAGGAAAGGAGAAAAAGGGAAGAAGCTAAGCTGAATCTAGACAAACTAGCTTATAAGGATGAACTGAAATGGAAGAGCTAAGGTTAAATGGCTTAGAGCCGGGGACAAAAATTCCAGCTTTTTCCACAAGATGGAAAATGCAAGGCAAATGTTTAATCAGTTGTAGAGGTTGGAATTGAATGAAGAGGTGGGAGAAACATGGACAGAAATGAAAAGCATTGCCACAAGGTATTTTTCAAATTTGTTTAAAGAAAATTGGACTAGAAGACCCCTCCATGTAGATCTGATCTTCAAAAGGCTTTCAAAGGGACAACAGAGGGAACTAGAAGCTCCTTTCTCAGAGGAGGAAGTTTGGCAAGTGATTAAAAAATTGGAAGTAGACAAGKMTYGAGGGCCGGATGGTMTGACCARYTTGTTCTATAAGAAATGTTGGGAGGTGGTGAAGGAAGATTTGCTGAAGGTATTTCAGGATTTTCATCACAATGCTGCCCTGGAGAGAAGTCTGAATTCAACTTTCATCTCTCTRATWCCWWAGGTGTAGGGTGCAACAAATATCAAGGACTTTTGGCCAATCAGTTTGCTGAACAGCTTCTATAAGATTTTGGCTAAGGTTCTAGCAGAAAGATTAAAGAAGGTCTTAGATTTAGTGACAGCAAAAAATCGGTTTGCTTTTGTGYCAGGCAGGCAAGTGCTAGACAGTGTGCTGGTAGCTAATGAATTGATAGATTCAAGGAAGAGGGAGGGCAGCCCTGGTTTGTTGTGTAAACTATACTTGAAAAAAGCCTATGATCATCTGAATTGGAAGTGCTTGGACTTTGTCCTTGAGAGCATGAATTTTGGTCAGAAATGGAGAAACTAGGTGAAGATCTGCATTACTTCTCCAAAATTCTCAATCTTAGTGAATGGTCAATCGGCAGGGTTTTTTAAAGGCCTACGACAAGGGGATCCCCTTCCCCTCTTCTGTTTATTTGTGTGGTGAAGATCTTAACTGCTTTTGTGAACAAAGTTGGGGAAGTTGGGCTTTGGAGAGCTTTTGAATTAAGGCGGGGGGGGTAGAAAGTCCAACTGCTCCAATTTGCTGATGATACTCTTTGTTTCATTGATGCAGAAGCAGATCAATTGAGAATTCTGCTAGAGGTGCTGGGTTGGTTTGAAGTAGTTACAAGTCTGAAAGTGAACTGTTTAAAGAGCAGATTGATTCTAGTTGGTAGGATTGAGAACCTTGAAGCACTTGCAGAGGTTCTAGCCTGTCAGGTTGGATTTTTGCCCACCATTTACCTTGGTCTGCCTCCAGGAGCTAAGTGCACTTCCTCATTTATTTGGGACCCTGTGGTGGAAAGGCTGGAAAGACAATTAGCCTCTCGGAAGGCCAAATATTTATCTTTGGGAGGTAGGATCACTCTCCTCAAAAGGTCCTTTTCAAATCTGCCCTCATATTTTTTCGCTCTTTTTCCTATCCTAGCAAAAGTGGCTCAAAGGGTGGAAAAACTTCAGAGACATTTTTTGTGGAAAGGATGGGATTTAGAAAAAAGAATTCACTTGGTCAGTTGGGACCAAATATGTTCCACAAATGGAAAAGGAGGATTAGGGATCAAAAAACTGAAATTATTTAATAAAGCCCTTCTAGGTAAATGGAACTGGAGATTTGGAAACAAGAAGGAAAGTTGGTGGAGAAAACTGGTAGCAACTAAATTGACACTGATAGAGGTGACTGGGTAACCAGCTCTTGTGTTAATTCTTTAGGGTGCTCTCTTTGGAAGATCATGGACATGTATCCATTGCTGAGTAGAGGTCTGGTTCTGAAGGTGGGAAATGGACAGCGCTTAAGCTTTTGGAAGGACAAGTGGTGTAGAAAAAGGCCATTGGCGTAGATGTTCCCCCAGTTGTTTCTTTTGGCAGACAATCAGGAAACATCGGTGGAAGAGTGGTATGAAGTCTCAAATAATAACATCATTTGGAGCCCCTCATTCAAAAGAAACTTCTAGGATTGAGAAATTAATTGAGAGAGGTATTTGAGCTGATATCCAATCAGGCCATGAACTTGTTGGAAGAAGACAGCTAGTGCTGGATCTGGAGTACAAATGGATCATTTTCATTGAGGTCCTTTGCCAAAAACTTGTTAGAAGGAGATAGTCCTGAACTTCCTGCAGCTATTTATCTGGAATTTGACAGCCCCCACCTAGGGGTGTCAATGGTATTTGAAAATCCGATTTCGAATTTGAGATTTGACATGAACCGAATTTGGATTATTCGAATATCTAATCGGTTGAATTCGGATATCCTATTCATATTGAATAGTTAATCGGATTCAAATTCGGATATGACCTGATTTGATTCGATAAATATCCAAGTCCGACTGATTATTTAATTCTTATATATAATATATAAAATATTTAAATGTTTTATACAATTTATATATATAATAATTAAATTATATAAATAATTTATATATTTTTATGCCTTATAGAAATAAAATATTTATTTTATATATTTATTAATTACCTAAAATAATTAGTTGGTCGAATTTGAATTGAATCAAAAATTTGAATATTTAATCGGATTCGATTCGTTTACACCCCTACCCCCACCAAATTAAATGCTTTAGTCTGGGTGGCTGTCTTGGATAGATGCCTAACCAAGAAGAACCTGGTGAGGAGAGGAATGCACTTTCATAAGGTAGGCTATGTTCTCAACTTAAGTTTTGGTTACTTTTGGATCGAGCTTCATGACAATGTGCTTCGGAGGGCTCCGTTTCCTCTGGGTGATACAAGGATTGAAGAGTGGAAAGAGACTATGGAGGATGAGATGGAATGAAAAGGGGAAGATGGCACAAGGGAAGGGAGTGCACTAAAACAAGTAGGAGCAAAGGGGGTTGCCAAAAGGTTTGAAGAAGGATCTTTGTGAATGGCAAAAATAGGAAGGATCTTTGTGAATCACTTTAAGTCAATCTTCTCAGAATCAGTGAGGAATATTCTGGGCCTACTAGAGTTGGAATGGAGAAGATTATCTGAGGAGCAAGCACGTGATTTGGAAAGAAGGTTCTCTCTAGAAAATGTTAAGGACACAATCTTTGCAATGGATAGGCTCAAAGCCCCTGGCCCTGATGATTTCTCAATGGGTTTCTATCAAGAGTGTTGGGATTTCATCAAATTGGAGTTGTTGGAAGTGTTTCATGAATTCTATCTTAAAGGGAAGATCCGCTATGGAGCAACTGCCACCTTTATCTCCTTAAATCCCCAAAAGAAAGAGGCTTTATCTCCAAAGGACTTTAGGCCAATAAGTTTGATGGGGTGTCTTTACAAGATCATCTTAAAGGTTTTGGCTAAAAGGATCAAAAAGGCCTTGCCTTCACTAATTTCACCATTCCAAGGGGCTTTTGTTGAAGGAAGATGATTGTAGAGAAAAGAAAGAGTATATCAAAGGGGCTGATTAGCAAATTGGATCTAGAAAAAGCTTATGATTTAGTTGATTGGAATTTTTTGCTAGCAGTTTTAGAGAAGGTGGGTTTTGGTGTTAGATAGAGGTCTTGGATGAAAGGTTGTGTTAGCTTTGCCCATTACTTAATCCTTGTAAATGAGGTAGCTAAAGATTTCTTTTTGGATAAGAGAGGTATCGGACAAGGAGACCCTTTATCCTCTTTCCTTTTCACCTTAGTGGCAGAAGTGTTGAGTGGTATGATTGTGACTGCAGACACACAAGGTCTGATTAGAGGGTGGAGAATTGGTAGGGATCAATCAGTAGTTTCCCATCTCCAATTTGCCGATGACACTATCATGTTTTGTGAGGATATTAATCTAGAGATGGTGAGAAATGTGAAACGGATGCAACTTTGGACATACAACTTCAGGAATGCCATAAAATTCAACATTTTTATCTTACATATCTTAAAAGAAACTGCAATTAAATTAATGACTTGAATAAGCTGAAGCTGATACTTCTTCCACTGACCAAATCATCTTAATCATTGTTGAGCAATTTTGATAATTATTTACAGTTCTGAGCAATTTTTATGTAATACCAGATTCATCAGCTCTCTTTTAGTCCTCACACAGATGCCATAGGGATTATGAATCTTGTCAAATTTCTCTCCCCAAAGCATGTGATTCTTGTACATGGTGAGAAGCCTAAGATGGCCTCATTGAAAGGGAGAATTCAGGCTGAATTAGGAATTGAGTGTTTCTATCCTGCAAATAATGATACAGTGCAAATTCCATCAACTCAGTATGTGAAAGTGGATGCCACATGCAAATTTTTCCAGAATTGCTTGATTCCAAATCTCAAGTCTATAAAGAACTGTGCAGAAGGTAAAGTAGATGTCAGTTCATCAAATACCGAGTCCTTTCCAACGGTGCAGACAGGACACAACAAGGTATCTGAAGGAATCCTGGTTATGGAGAAAATGAAAAAAGCACAGATTGTACACCGATCTGAATTGTTGCCAATGTTGGGAGTGGAAGAACACCAAGTTCAGTTTGCTTACTGCTGTCCTGTACATGTAAGAAATGTGGATAACTCCAAATCACATGAACATGGGAGTGAATCATCAGAGCCTGTTGGGTTTTCCACTTCTCTACAGCCATGTGCCATGTCAAGTTCATTGATAAAAATTGCAGATCCTTCTTTGGAGAACATGTTGCTTTCTTCTGAAGAATTTTTGTGGCTGCACCTATTATTTGTAGAACTCTCCAACAAACTTCCAGGAGAAAAAATCCTAGAATTTCCTGACAATCTACAGCCGAAGTCATTCCATGTCCATGTTTGCCCAGATGCCAACTGCCCATACAAAGTCAAGGAGGTTATTGAAGATAAACATGCAGTACATTTTTGCTGCAGGTGGTCTACTCGATGAGAACCTGGGATGGAGAATCATTTCTGTCATGCAAGGTTTGGATTTAACATATTCAAGACCTCATGCTCCATGTTCTAAAAAAAGAAAATCAGAGACAAGCTCTTTTTAGTCCTATTTGAACTATTTACCTGAAGTTCCAATCTAGTAACTTTCATAACCTTTTCCAGTTGAGGATCCTTCCAGATCATCCTTGTGGTAATGATGACATAATTACTGAGCTGTTGAGTGGCTGATCATTCGTTTGACAAGGAGAAAGTAGTGCATCGTATCCTTTATTTTTGAGTTCTGGCAATCGGAATGAGTTTAGACAGAAGTGGGTTCCCCATAATACTTCAGTCAATCATGTTAATACGTTTGGTCTGATGCATCATTTTAGTAGGCACTCTAGTTTCCTTGGTGAAGTAAAGATGGATACTGAATTAGGACACCATGGGAAATTCTAGATCAAACATGGTGGAATTCTAATCCTATCTATGGCAGACTTTCTATATTTTGGGTGGTGTGGGTTAATACTTTTCAATGTTTTCCAAGTGTCTCCCAATATTTCACACTCCAGATAAATTATTAAGGTATGTGTTTTTTTTTCTTTGTATATACCTTAATTATATTCATCCAAGAGACCAAGACTTGTATTCAGTGTTTTTTATATATATTTTCCAGGATATCAGTGTATGTGTATCTTAATGCACATCCCAATGTTTTCATGAAGAGATCTTGCACTGTAGCTCGTTGATGGAATTATGGAAACTCAAAAGCAAAGCACTGTTGTATCGCAATGTTCAAAGTATCGAGGGCATATCGGTCAGTATCGGCCCTTTGCTTTTTCTTTCACTTATTTTTTTTTTTAGATTTTGGTTCAGAGGGGTCGGTTTAAGTTCCAACTACCCTCTGAACCAGGCCCTGACCTGATACAACCTCTGTAGGAGTATCAGGAAAGGCTCG